CTAATTATTTCGTTATAAGTTCTTTGAAACTTTTCCATGAAACTAGGAAAATAAGATAAAACTCTGTAGAAATGGCTTAGCCTGCCAATTTTCACGAAAGTGGTTACCAACAATTTCCTTGTTAAATCATCAGGTTGTTTAACAGCAATTGATGACGTGATTAGATGTGATGACAAGATGGAAGAATTATTCTCCGCTTCTTTATCACTGTCGTTATTAGTGCTCATGCTAGCAGTAGAAACAATTGGAGTGTTTGGTGGTGGATCGATTCTTGTTAGATAGCCGTCATCAAATGAGGAGGAAGCAGTTGATGAAGTAATTGATGAAGTGGGGGATTTTAAAAATGAGGGTGTGGATGTTGTTGCTGATGAGTAATATTCGGTTTGTGGCCATTCCAATGTTAGAATATCTTCAGACGGAATGTAAAATGATGGATTTGGATGGATTGGTAACGGAACAGGAACACCAATATTCTAATATATAAATTTAAATTTTTTTTTAAAAAAAAATTTAAAAATTTGAGAAAATAATTCCTTTCAAATTTTATATTTATTATTTTTTTTTAAATCAATCTTCATATTATATATATGTAAGAAGTTCTGGTTATTTTTTAAATTAAAAAAATTTAAGCAACTTTTAAAAAAAAATATACATATATATATGTATATATATTACAATAAATTTTTTTTATCTTTCATAGAAAAGTCTCTATATTTCCTAGTCTTATTATATTGTGAAATTCAAGAGCAACTCTTGATAATGGCATAATTCGATAAATTCATAAAATTTGCGTGCCAGACCCATGGAATTAACGAGTAATATAATAATAATATGATGTATCTTAATAACAATCATCTTAATTGCTTATTATCACACTAAACTATATTAATTTTTGAGTTCATATATGTATATATAAAGTCATGTGTAAAGGTTGTCACGTTTGCGACAAAAATATCGATCCCAGTAGTAGTTAGTATAATGAAAATGAAATGAAATCATATGTTATCTATTAAAAGTCAAATAAACTATCAGAATATCGGCTGTTATAACCAATTAGATTTTCTCCGTAATAAAAATGACTAATATCGATGTTGGTATTATTAGTTTCAGATAGTCCGTAATATACGCTATCTGACCATTGATCCGTCATAGCCTGGATGATATTTGGATGTAGAGTAAATGTTGCCATTGTAGTCGGTTCATTGGTGCTAATAATATTATTAATATTATTGTCGTTGTTATCTATATATTGTTGATAACGGTTGAGTAATGACAACTGTTGATTGAATTCTTCTTGAGGCAAACGCCTGGGGTCTACTTCTTGAGTCGAGCACTGAGTATTATCCTGGACCGATGGTTCGCTCTCTACTGTATCAAATACGTCATCATTGTAAACTTCAGCGTTGATTGATGATGATGATGATGATGATGATGATGATGATGATGATGATGATGATGATGATGGTGATGATGGTGATGAT